TGTTTTTGTAAAAGTCAAAAAAATAAAATAAAATCATGAAACAACAACAAAAAAGAATTTCTCCTGTCAATTTTATATCACCTTCAAATTCATCATTCTGCACCATCCTAGGTCACCAACACTTTGCTCCTATTCAGGATGGCTTTGTCTCTAATTTCCAGTTAAGATATTCCTCCTTTCCTTATGAGACCTCCTCAGCACGGCCTTTACTTATCACATTTTCATGAGCGTTCTGATGATCATGCCACCAACAATCTCTAAGAAGTTCTAAACTTTCTCTAGTTTTATTCTCACTCCTCACCAGAACTGGTCCTAATGTTCTGTACATGATATTACACTTTTCCAAGCCTGTTCTTCCAAAACAATTTCTTCTAGCCTCTTCTCATTCATGGTTAGTTGCCCCACTCTTGGCACCAATTTCTTGTCTTAGTCTGGCTTCTGATACTGTAAGTGAATGCCACTGACTGGGAGATTTATATCAAATAAATTTTATTCAGTTTATGGTTATAAAAAGAAAGCAAGATTCAGTAGGTTTTTAATACAGTACAAGGAACTGGCAGTCATGTGGGGTTTGGTAGTTACATACAAAGATTTAGGGCACAATTAGATGACAAACAGGACATATAGCTTTTAGCTGGTACCAGCTAGAGGCTGTTTGTAAAGCAAGATGCTTGAACTTTTACTCAGGGTTACCAGTGCCCATCTGGTAATTTGTTGGTCACAACGTTTTCTTTCTTAGGACAAAAAGCACAGTAAAATTTTAGCTTTTAGCCCAGGAATAAACTTTTAACCTGGCCTATTCTTTTAGCTAGTGAGAGCTGAGAGTTATTTGTTCAGAACAAGGAGGTGGCTAAGGGTTGTTGGCCAAGATGCTTTCCCTCAGAAAAAGGAGCTTAAACTTTTGACCCAGCTACTTTTCTCCTGCTAGTCCTGTAGTGTTCTGGGAGACAGGGATTTGAGGACTGCTGTTTTCAGCACCCCTCCCTTCAGCAGAGCACATAGCCTGGACTTTAAAAGTTTTAGGCTCCTCTCGCCCTAGGGCATGCCATCCTCATTCCTTACAAGCCAACATCAGCCTAAATGGAAAAAATTTTGAAGAGTTCCCATTAAAATCAGAAACCAGAT